CTCACTAATATGCCTAACCTAGGGGGACTTTATTTGTGCCGACATTCCAAGTCTTTAGGCTTAGGTTAACGTTTTCTATGAGTGAACACAATTTAATGTATAGAATCCACACTACTCTAAAAGGCTGACAAAAGATTTTGGATTTCAGCAGCGACGCGATTACTGTTCATTTGACGTTGCTGCTTAAGAACTGAACACCGTTATGTAAGTTTTCCCTGATGTTCGTGAATTCGAGTCCGCCATCTACAACCCCCCTCGTCGTGATCTATATTACCACTGTAGACCTCGGAATGAGTGTAGATCTGGTCCGGAAATCGAATTAGCAAATATATATATGTTTATTAAAAGTTACTCTGACAAAATGTGAATAACATTATGATGAATGTTCACAACTAGATTTTGACTGAACAGTTTAATTATGTACTATGCCTTTTCTTTCTCCGACATGCATGGGGGGATTTGTGCTGAATCTGTTGACCGCTGGTTCATATTTNATATTTGAAGCATCGATTACCGGCCTTTACCAGCGCGAGTAACAGTTCATGTCCTGGGTCACAATCAAGTGGTCCACAAGCGAGAAGACGAGACAAAACTTTTTTCTCCGGATATCCTTTCTACACATCTAACACATCTATTGAAAATCAATCCACACAAAAGGAACTACCGGTAAAGCGAACATTCGTGTTTCCCATCGGACGTGTAAGAGCACGGCAACAATTCAAAATGCGGACGATGACAGTGGTGACATTTTCGAGGATGTTGTTCACCCGTTTGAAAATATTCGGGGGCAGAGTTACAAATACATACATTCAAGCACAAAAGCCGAACTGAAGCAAATGTACCCCGTTACAAACACTAGTGCAAAGACGGGTCGATGGAAAACGGCAATGCAATCAGAAAATTAGAACGAAACGTTCTATAAATAGACAGAAATTAGCACCGTTTTACACTCATTTCAAGACATGAGAAATAAAGGAAAAATCACACACATACAAAAACGCAGGTTTTCAGCACAAGTTAACTACGAGTTGACCGACAGACCATCACCTGTTCAGTAAACGATAACGCCCTGTGGGTAATGATAAATGAATCAACGATTTTATTTGTCTACTTGAGTAGTTCTGTCTCGGGATTCTTTGATACGACATATCTGAATTTCCTTGCGGTAGGAGTATGATTATTTCATCGTCGGGGTAAGATACTTCACTGAAAGTTATTGCAATCAATAGACATGGCTCATTCAATAGAAATTTTAAGTGGTCTGTCCGAAAATGTTTGTCAGGTCATCTGTTTTTAGTTATTGAACCTGATCATGGTCATTGGTTCTCGTGCTTATAGTATGCAAATTGTAAACACCTATCCTCAGTTAGGAGATCAAATACCGCGCGGTTCAGTAAACCAGTTTTATGGACTGTTGTATTACAAATTGAACAACTCTTTTCTTNAACTCTTTTCTTTCTTTTGCGCTACAGAACTGTCAAACCTCAGCGCCTCAGTCTTCCCACTACAGCACTGGTCAACCTTGATTCGGACCGGATTTACCATCTACAGAAGCGAAACTCAGTCACAGTCCGAATCCATTTGAACGAGTCCACTTTTTCTTGCTGGGTGAGCGAAAAAACAGTGAGCATAAAAAGGACACGTAAAATGGTACTCGTGCAGTCTGGTCAAATTCCGGCCTACCTAAACTTGATCGCCATCAACGAAAGTATTCACTGTCAACAATTGATAGAACCACTTCCGAACAGTTTGCTCAGTTTCTACAAAGCAATCGGACTTATTTTGGGTCCGGTCAACGCCATCTTGAACGGGGTCTGTGTGCACATTTTCAAACATCCCGCCTGGAAACAGTCTGCTATGAGTCGAATACTGAAAGGACTTTCTATTGTGGAACTGTGTATGGGGATCAGTCTATTCCTATTTGCCATGCTGTATGCACAAAACTCAAATACGGTACAGAAAACAGACCTCATAATCAATTTCACTCAAACGGAGCCAAACAGTTCACTGCCTCCATCGCATGAAGCGATTCGAAAGAATCGTGATAGAGCGTTTGTGCACACAATCGCCTGGTTCTTATCCATGACAGTGTTCAGTCGCTGTCTCGTTGCATTCCAAGTGGCCCGAAATTGGTCTGTAGTACTGTTGGCTGCATATCGATACGATCGAATATGCCGACCGATCGGGACGGGCACGGCACTGCCACGCGAGAGGATACCTGGGATTCTGATTGCCACGATTGCGTTATCATTTGTGGTTGTGCTTCCCCGGGTGTTCGAACTAGGCATAGTGATCTGTGACATTAGTGGCCAGTATGCAGGTGATCAAGTACTGCTTCTGAGGGACCCAATCTACCAAATTGTCTACTTGGGCATTGTGATGTTTGTTGTACAGTCTGGTGGTCCGATCATTTGTGTTTGCGTGTTGAGTGCATTTGTGATTCGGTTGATTGCGAAACGCCGAAAAATCCACAAAATGAATGAACAAAAATCCGCTCGTCGTTTGTTAAGCATACAGCATAGCTCACGAGCACGTGCCAGCGGCCAAGATTCAGGTCCCGGTCTGCCAGGGGATGGGAATGGAACAACCACGAGCGCAAGCAATTTGAATTGTAGCAACAGCCAAGAAAACGAAAATAATCACAAAAACAATGATGAATGGAACAAACCAGCTTCAAGACAACCAGGCATGAACAATTCGGAAAACGTTGATCGTACTTCCAACATGCTTGCTCTTACCAGCCCAATAGACCGACCATCTCCAGCAGGAGATAAACTCATATTTGCTGTTTGCATCACATTCTTTATTTTGGAAACTCCAGCATTTTTTAGTAAAATTCTCAACCCTTACCTGGAGAAACATTATTTTCAATTGGATCTTTGGTTATCCGTTATAGCCAACGTTCTTGTGTACCTAGACTCCACTCTGAATGCATTTGTCTATATGGCATCCAATCCCACTTTCCGTAAGGTAGCATATGATGAATTTGTGAAATACCGAAGCCGTCTAACCGGTGCACCCTATCGCCCATCACATTCGACCAATACCTGCTTGAACAATCCACGAAATGTGTCTGTTCGATTGTCGCGCACCACGTGATCAGAATGTGTCCGTGATTAATTGAAGCCGTTCCCAGTTTGGCCTCACTGTTGTGCATACTCGATCACACATAGATGAATGTGACTGCTTGGCTGAACAGATACATGGTGACGCAACGGACCCCGGTCAGACAAACAAATACACTCGCACCAGAGGGAACATGTGCGACCATGCCAGGGGGATTATTCATAAGTCCTCCAATGATGGACTAGTGACAAGCACCACACATCCTAAACACAAGCAAACTATACAAATCAGGCAATAACAAGTTTGGCTAAAACAAGTGATGCAATACAGACAACAGAAGAAAATATTATTGTTCATATGTACCATTATTACATCTCATTAGTTTGTATGAATGTCTGTCCAATAAAAAGGAAAAAAATATAACTGGATAAACGATGCACTCTTGTAGTTACCTGTCATGCACACCGCATCACATCCAGCTTGCTTTCGTCATTCTGACCGAGGAATGTTTCGGTTAATTGAGGACCTGAAACGTATGGCCGTGATTGTCACATCCATTTTCCCCGTTGGATTCTATGTTTGCATTACTCATCAGAAAGTTATCTGATTTTGGGATATATGAGAACACAAAAACAGAGCTATTCACTTTTGTATGTGAAATCAATGGTTAGAGATTGATTGCATCTTTCATTGTTTGAAAATTCATGAGGGAGTATATTGTGACTAACTTAACAAATAAACTAAAGTAGGGTTTAAAACATACAAGTTGAGATGAACCTGGGTGAATTAAATAAATAAATTTTCTTAAGAAATGCAGTCTGAGGTAATTTATCAGAATAAATCCATGCAGTCAAGTAGTCCATTGATTTTGTTTTAATGACATTCCCTGATATGATGTACCCTTTAATGGGCAAGCCCCATGAACCGACGAAGGATATGCTTGTTCAGGCCTATAATTGACTGATTCGTTTGTCGTGCATGCATATTGTCGGATTGATTGATTAGTAGATTGATAGGTTGATTGACAGGACCGAATCTATAACAATATCCATCGGCTCCATCCAATCAGGTCCACACTAATTGATTCGTTGGCTATTTGCATACCGACTTGACGGCAAACGGCAATTGCGTCAGCCAATTGTTGTGCTTGTCCATTTACTTGCCTGCCTGCCGGCATGGTGACACCCTGATTGCTCACCTACAAACCGCCTACGCTCAGGTTTACGTACTAATTTTACTAAATTTACTGCTTATAAATTTCTTTGCTTCGACGAGACACAGCAATACTGTTCACGTATGGTGAGGTACAAAATAACCCATTAAGATGAATACGCCCTTGGGCGAACCGACGGTGAAGTTTCCAGTCACCAATTCGGTGGATGACTACAACGAACCTCATTGACTAAGAAACATTGATGATTAAAAACTCAACCGTTTGACCATCTACACGATCGCACGTTTTATTTAATGATCGTTGTAAAACCCTTGAATCATTGCACATCGCACAACTCCCTACTAATTGGGGCACCTTATCTAACCAGTGAATTCCTTTAGTTTCTTTATTGAGTTACTAAGTACAGAAAACGAAAACAAACGCGATCAAATAGACTTTCAGGTAGCAGGACTGCGTTAACTGGGATATAAAAAGTTTATTTACACTTGGGAGTTGACGGACTGAACCTAAATTATTGGTTTTGTCATAAGAAACCAATTCCGCGAAAGAGGCGAAGGTTAAAATCTCATTTTCGGCTGAAGCTGATGCAACATTCCTATCCCACACACAAAATCCTTTCTAACTTTACACATAAATCGGTTGAGATTCTCAGTGGAAATATCATAAACATAGAAGTTTATTATCGGTTGAATTATCTTCAAAGTGACACCCGTTTGCTCTCCACATGTACACTGAGTTCACATCCATCCATTATCAATATTAGGTGATTTTTATTTGTTTGAGTCCTTTTTTATTTTACTTTTCTCCAAACCCTATGATTTTCTGCAAAATATGCCCCAGTTGACCAGTAGACTAAGCCCACAAAAATAGCTTTTTCAATTTACGATATTATTCAAAGCCGCTAATTGTGGATTCATGATCTTGTTCAATGTAAATGGTTTTGAAACACACAGTAGAATGTACAACAGACTTATGAAATCAATGTCCATTTGGCTAACTTAGCGAAAGTTTTAACCCATCATCTGTGCGGTACAACGACTGAACTACGCATCAATTTCCCATATCAGAGTGACGCTGTCCGCTTTGTACAAGCCACACATGGACCTATGAACCTTAATCAGCTGAATTACGCAACAGCTCTTAAAGCGATTTAGGAACACCATCTACGCTGACTGAGACACGGCGAAACCGGGCAGTGGTGGCCTGGTGGTAACGTCACCACTTATCATCTCGGAGGACGTGTTCGAGTCCCACCACCACCGCCTGACTTTCACACTTGTGGGTTGTATATCAGCCCCTTGATTGGCCGCTTGCGGCTTCCTGAAAACTGTCTCCTTGTATGTTCAGTAAAAGGAAGTAAAATGAAAATGAAATGAATGACTGTCGTAAATGCTCTCATTTGAAGTAACTAATTATTTTTAATTTACTGATATATTTTTCTAGAGTTATTTAAAACGCAGTTGGTGCTCAACTTTTACGAAGGTCTCAAATACATCTTAATTATCGATGTTGACCAACTCAAGGTTAAGTAAAGTTCATCCAAGGTAAACGGTTTCAACGTTTGAAAGAATTCCCGGTCTGTGAGTGAATTTTCTCAACAGCATAGGCTACTGCTTTCCTATTCTCTCTTCTACTGACTTAATGATACACGGTCATCAGGAAGACGTATTTACGCGCGTTTTGGTTGTGCACACGGAAGACAAACGTGGCTGGTGTATTGTGTTTATGTGCTCATATGGTTGCATGTTTTGTAAACGGTGGCCTCGTCAGCTGTTTAGGGAATTCGAGATGACCTTGAAGGTCATCGCGACCAGAAACCTAACAAGGGACCGAGGAGGAAAGAAGGAAGTCAGAGGAAAATGAAACGAAATTAACGACAATTAGGTACCACGGGGTCTGAACCAAAATGGTTAATCGAATGCGCGTACAAAATCTGATGCGAACTATTGTGGGAGTTAACCACAACATTATCGTGTTGTGACCTTGAACAGAGGAGGAAAAATAATGGACTGCACAGGAAAATGTGAAGTGTTTTGCGGCAATAATTTTCAGGATACGCAGATATATAAACCGAAAAGCTAAACCTGCTTAATGGTTGATTTTGGACAACTGACTGTAGTAAAATGTTTCTATCAATGTGACTAATGTCATAGGTTAACAAATTAAGAATTGAAAGTTACAAATTTAGGTCAGCAATTGGTTGTGTCGAAATGAACAACTGGAATTAATGGTTGAATAAGATTCAGTCCAAAGTGGAGACGAGTATTCCTTTAGTCATACAACAACATATTTTTCGACTGATTTCTTTTTTTTCTTGTCCTTTTCCATCCTTTTATTGAATAGACTATGATAAAATTTTCAGGAAAAGAGAAACGGCCAATCCAAGGGCTGCCACACAACACGTAATGGGGAAAGTCAGTCGGTGGCGGTGGGATTTGAATACATCTCATGCGAGGAAATAATTTGTTGAATTTACCATCAGGCCACTTCTTGACTATGTTTAGTGATATGGGTTGTACGGTTCCGTTTAGAATTTGCTATCAGTTATGTCCCCTTCCAATAGCACACTCACGTGGTATATCCTTCGCTGCATTCTCATCAACCAGCACCACCAGCACCACCACTAACTGTATTCACCAGCCTATTTTAAAAAGTATAATTTATTGTATCTAAGGTCATTTCACTATCTAGTTTTAGCTGATTCCCTAACACAGTCCAAATTACGTAATTTTTTTCCGTTATTTTGTTCCACTGAAAAATTTCAAAATGTAGATTTGATTGCTTCGCATAATTTTACAAACGCTTTTTTTACAGATGAATAAGACAAACCAATGACCAATATCAATTCTGTTTCCCTATCTCTCTCTCTAATAACAAAATGAATGAGAGGACAGCATGCTTCATAGATTATGCTCTTATCTTGAAGTGATAGGCAGCAAACTTAAGTCAAATAAATCATCTTCGGTTAATTTATTTTGTTTGCTTTTTATTTGCTGTTATACCAAAGAAAACAAACAAATGAAAAGTGTTGAATATTTTTGAATATCCGCTTTCTTCAAGCGATTCTCAATGCTGAAAATGGAAACAAGAATGCCACGTGTCTGAAGTCGTTCCTGTCAAAATCAGTTCCGTATTGATGTCTCAGATTTTGGGACCAAACCTAAACGGACTAACTAACTGGCTAACAGATGTATCCAAAAAATTCGAATAATTGATTTAATCCCGGAATGAAAAATCAGTGAAGTAACTATCGCAGTTAATCTTCAGCAGCATCAACGTTTCCGGCATTTCTTTCACTCATCTTTTCATCCACCTGCCGAAATGCGATTAATTGCGTTTGTGCACGAACGGCATATCAGTGCAATTTGATTGTATCTTATCTCGTTAGAAATCATTAATATGTGGAATAAAGTCCATTGAAACCTAAATTCACGTCCCAGACATTTGGTGGAAACATACGACACAGTTTAAAGAAAAATATCGAAACATAGAATCTTGGCGATGTGTGCCTATTCTATAAACTATTAATGCATTTTGAATTGATTTGTTATTCTGGTTGCGGTCTATTGATAAGCCCGATGGAGTACAATGGCGTACATAAGGCTCACCTAGTGGAGACTAACAGCGACAAACCTTTAAGAGTATCTCTTAAACAAGAACAGATCTTTTACTTGAAATGCGCGTTATCGTATACATATTTTATTTATCCTAATCAACGGAACGTAAATAACCATATAAGCAGACGATTATAGGGAAGACCAATACGTAACACAATCAACGTAGAAATATATCGAACCGGTTTCACACTTCGGGATGGATTCACATTGCAAAAGTTATTAGCACCACTTTATCCTGTTTC